CTACAATTAGCATAATTAGTCAAATGCCAACTATATTTATTTATTTTAAAATATTTATGTGTTTATTTTGGCTGCACCAGGTCTTCGTTGCAGCATGCAGGATCCTTTAGTTGCGGCATGTGGTCTCATATTTGGGGCATGTTTGTGGGATCTGGTTCCCTGACCAGGGATCGAATTTGGGCCGCCTGCATTGGGAGCTCAGGGTCTTACTCACTGGACCACTAGGGAAGTCCCACCGACTATACTTTAGTCTCTATTTCTTGTTAAGTGTGATATGTGCAGTCTGAAAGGTACTGCAGAAGGGGTTCCCATGTGAGCGTGGTTAATCATTGGTTTCCAATTATGGCTAAATATCAGAATATCTTACATAGCTTTATTTATTTATTTATTTTTGGCTGTGCCACTTAGCTTTTGGGATCTTAGCTCCCTGACCAGGGATAGAACCTGGGCCCTGGCAGTGAGAGCACCGAATCCTAACTACTGGACCACCAGAGAATTTCCGCTAACAGAGCTTTAAAAATTGGTGGGTCCCAAAGCCCTGTCACAAATTTGTAGGGTTCCAAAGCCCTGAAACTGTAGGGTTGATTTTTTTTTTTTTTTTTTTGGCTGTGTTGGGTCTTGGTTGCTGGTCGTGGGCTTTCTCTAGTTGTAGTGAGTGGGGGCTACTCTTTATTGCGGTGCATGGGCTTCTGATTGTGATGGCTTCTCGTTGCAGAGTACAGGCTCTAGGCGTGCAGGCTTCAGTAGTTGTGGCACAGGCTCAGTAGTTGTGGCTCGCGAGCTCTAGAGCTCAGGCTCAGTAGTTGTGGTGCACGGGCTTAGTTGCTCTGCGGCATGTGGGATCTTCTTGGACCAGGGCTCGAACCTGTGTTCCCTGCATTGGCAGGCGGATTCTTAACCCCTGCTCCACCAGGGAAGCCCCTATAGGGTTGATTTTGATGCTCAGCTAGTTTTGGGATCCATTGAATTATTTAATGCTGTGGAACACCTTTTGTTTTTAATAGTATCATCTCAAGGTGTTTTAAAAATAAGAACCATGATAACGTATTCATTATTTATCTAGCAGTATAACTGAGATACTAGAACTTTACCATATTGGTGAGTTAAAAATCTTAGGGTTCTGATCGCCAGAATTTCTTAAGCATTAAAAAAAGATGAGACCAACACCTTCTCTTTTTATAGGGATTTGCAGAAGCATTTTTGGAACATCTGTGGAAAAAATTGCAGGATCCAAATAATCCTGCTATCATCAGGCAAGCTGCTGCAAATTATATTGGAAGCTTTTTGGCAAGAGCTAAATTTGTTCCTCTTATGTAAGTAACCTAATTTTCCAAGTGCTTTTCATATCATCCTTTAAAAAGTATAGTATTGTCTCAAGTCAGAGAAATATCTGCCTTATTTTTTTGGTCTGTCTTTAAAGTGAAAAAATCTGTTCTCCCCCTCTATTCAAGATGTTTATATTTCTGAGAGGCAATTTCAGAGTAAAATGTCTCCTTTTCAAAATGTAAAACCTCACTTGAAAAGCTTTTGTAATCTGTTCTGTATGGTTGCACTTGAATATGAAGATCCATTTGTCTTCATGGATGGTGTACAGTGTTGTATACTGTTTTGATTCTTTTTATAGGTTTGTCATTTTTCATTTGCATTCCGAATCAATTGTATCTGTTAAAGCTGAAGAAAAAAATCCTTTTAAAGGTAATAAATCTATTTAGGAGGCCAGCTCTGGGCCTGTTTCTTCTAGTTATCCATGAAGATATCTTTGGTCAAGGATGCTATTTAAAAACCCTTTACTGATAGCTAAAAGCTATCTGGCTGTTCTGTCCTAAATTGTTGATCATGGGATTTCATCAGAACCCCTTAGAGAATGGTGAGGTCAACTGGACTGTCTTTCTCTTGTAAGATGCGGGTAAACATGCCCTGCTCTTTGGCCGTATTCCCCCAAGAGGGCTGGGAGGCCATCGGAGAAGCCCTTCTGAGTTGATGAGGAGAAACTGTTCTCCAGCTCTTGGGACTTCAGGCATTCTTAGGGGCCTGCCTGTTGTTCCTAGGAGGTCCATGTGCTTGAGCTTGTAACTGGAAGGCTGTCTTTCCACCCGCCTACCATTTTCTTTCCTTTCTTTGCTTCTTCTCTGTGCCCATGGGTGATAGATACAGAAGCCAGTGGACAGACTTTTCTTAGTTTGTAAGGAGAGGCAATTGTGTGTTCTTAGGTCATTCTAGTTTTTTATGAAGCAAGTGAAGTTGACTTGAATTTTTCTTTTCTCTAGTACTGTAAAATCATGCCTCGATCTTTTGGTTAAGTGGCTGCACGTATACCTTAATAACCAGGATTCAGGAACAAAGGCATTTTGTGACGTTGCTCTCCACGGACCATTTTATTCAGCTTGCCAAGCTGTGTTCTACACTTTTGTTTTTAGACACAGGCAGCTTTTAAGTGGAAACCTGAAGGAAGGTCAGTGATGTGGGGTTGATGGATATGAACTGGAATTTCCTTTTAAGCTCCACTTCTAAAAAGATGTGGGGCTTAAAAATAGTTGTATGAACTCTAGTAGGACAAGGTTTTATCACAGGATAAGTAAAATCACTGCTTTTTTTTGTATAAATAAGTGGTAAGCATCTTGGTTAAAGAGGACCTATTTTATATGGGAACATATGTATATGTATAACTGATTCACTTTGTTATAAAGCAGAAACTAACACACCATTGTAAAGCAATTATACTCCAATAAAGATACTAAAAAAAAAGAGGACCTATTTCTTGTAAGCCATTACATTATGCCATTTTTAATAATTTTTATCATAATATACATCAAAGAATCTCCTAACAAAAGACACTTAGGCACAAGTTGGTTTGCTTGCCTCTTAGAATAAGTGTGGTGTCTTTCTTTTTAACATAGGAGAGAAGTATATTTATCGGTTCCAAGACAGTAGTATCTACCTAATTTTTCCTTCTAACTCCATAGTTTTTTGTAAACAAACAAACAAAACCCTGAAATACAAACAACTAATGCACACTTGAAAAACATGCTCAACTTTACTGATAACTTAAGACATGTAAGTCTCTCTTGGTTTTGTTGGCTGTCACATTGACAGATTTTGTGTGTGTGTGTGTGTGTACATATGGAATTCAAGAAGGAGAAATTCCATATTGTGTAATCATTACCTCTAAGGAATGGAGAATCACTGTGTTGCCTCAGCTTTTTAATGATTCCATGATTGTTAGCAGAAATCATCACACAGTCTTTGTTTCCCTCTATACGCTCAGCATGTGCTGAGGTTGCTTATATCTGAGTTCCAAATTGTCATGTAAGGTTATTGCCCACTGGAAATGTGTGTTTACTTCCTGAATCTTTAAAAGAATAAACTCTTTTCTTTAGAAAAGTTGGTTTGGTCATAAATACATATAGTTGAGCTTAGTGATATTCTTTGGGCTCTACACTGCGTGACTGTCTACATGGACCTTTAAAGCATTTGTGCAAATACCTCTTTTAAGTTTTTTTTTTTTACTGTATAAAATAATAAGTGCTGCTTAGACTATTGTGTTTGTACCTTTTAAAAAAATCTTTTGTTTTTTAATCAAAGGTTTGAGGTACCTTCAAAGTCTAAATTTTGAACGGATAGTGATGAGTCAGCTAAATCCTCTGAAGATTTGCCTGCCCTCGGTAGTTAACTTTTTTGCTGCAATCACAAAGTAAGTTATTTATGCTCTATTTGTGGAAGTTATTTCAAAGTGAATTTATGTTAGTATTATAAAATTCCGTTAAATTTCTGTGGAATTATTTAACAAAATTAATAGCAAAAAACATTTAAAAACCAATAACCCAGTACTTGTGGAAAGCACTGCATTGAAGGTATTGTTTTTATACTTTGGTTGCACTGGAAATTGCTACTACTTTTTAATCTAAGGACGATAATTCAGAAGTTTAGGCACTTTGAAATAAGTAAGGCAGCTAGCAAGCTGAGAGGTATAAACCACAGATGTTTATTAGAGTGACTCTCATAATGGTAATAAAAATAGACCAGACATGAGATAAACATCCAACAATAGGAAATTGGTTCATTGAGGGCCTTGTGGCTACAGCTGATGTGCATAGCATTTATTGTGTGCCCAGCACAGTTCTGATAAACACTCTGCATAGAACTCACTTAATCCTCACACAATCCTATGACTGTATTATTAATCCCTATTTATAAATGGCAAGAAGGAGGGCACAGAGAGATTGAATGACTTGTGTGGAGTCATGGCTAGACTGTGGCAGAGCTAAGGTTTGAATGCCGGCAGGCTGGCTCCTTCGTAAGCATTCACTGAATTATTTTGCTTCACGTAGAAAGTGAATTGGAGACCTTGGGTATCTTATCATGATATTGAGGGCAGGATCATAGCTTGAAATCTTTAACAGATTGAGCTATTAGAAGATAGGAATAATTTCTGCATCCCTCAGTCCCCTTTAGACATCCTGTTGCTCTCATTCAGCAGGCTTATTTTTCCTTTGCTGGCCATCTAGTTTGAGGTAGTCTCACTCCCTCAGATCTCAAAAATGGTAGTAAAGAATTAAGAAACCAACAAGCAACAGTGTCCAGTGGGTGGACATTTCCAGCACATCGCGGGAAGATAGGAAGCAGCTGGAAGAGTAGGACAGATGGAGCAAAGCAGAGGCAGCTGCCCTTAGAATATTCATGGGGTGGGAGTAGAGAGCTGCAGTTGAGGAGCAGACTGGCCAGAGAGGCTCTAGATCTGGGGGTTGGGATTAGCATGGATGTTAGGAGTAAGACGTGAGGCTGAGAGCAAGAGGTCGAAATAAAGGTCTGTGTCAAGGAATTTATGTATCATTCTGTAGCTACTGCTTCTGCTATATTGACTCATATAGCTGTATTTTGATTTCGACTGCTGCGTAATGTTCTCATAATTTAAAAACATCGATTCTTTGTTGGGATTTAAGCTGTCTTCCTTTTTCAATGTGGGTGCATGGTTGTGTGTGTGTCCTGGTACACAGGCACATACTTCCTGTCACCCAGAAGTGCAGTTGCTGGGTTGTAGGAGGTGCACATCTTCACTTTTACCGAATATTGCGAAGTACTCCAGTGTGGTTTAGCCATTTAACACCAAGAGTCAGGTGTGATCCTTGGCTAATGGAACAGAAATGAACATATGGTGCTTAAAATAGCAGTAGTGATCTAAGAGCCTGAGAACAGATACCTGAATGAGTACTGTGGGAGAGAGGGTGGGAGGGGGAGAGTTGGCAAAGGTGAGCTAAATCTTCCTCTCAAAGAAGTGACCCAGTGAGTGATTTTTGAAGTTCCTAAGTCATAACCACCAGGGAGTTTGACAGCATATGGTCCTGTTGGGCTTTGTTGTTGGTGGTTTTTTAATTAATTAATTTTTAGCTACGCTGGGTCTTCGTTGCTGCACATGGGCTTTCTCTAGTTGTGGCAAGCAGGGGCTACTCTCGCTGCAGTGTGAGGGTTTGTCATTGCAGCGGCTTCTCCTGTTGCGGAGCACGGGTTCTAGGCGCTTGGGCTTCAGTAGTTGTGGCTCACGGGCTTAGTTGCTCCATGGCATGTGGGATCTTCCCGGACCAGGGCTCGAACCCATGTCCCCTGCATTGGTAGGTGGATTCTTAACCACTGCGCCACCAGGGAAGTCCTGGTCCTATTGGTTTTTATCGCAAGTTTTTCTGTCCATTTAACTGTTTTCACTCACTATGCCTTTTCTTTACCATTTTCTGAGGTCGTGATTCAGTAAACCCCATGGTTCTCCCTTAGTACCCTCTTTAATATCTTCAACAGCCAAGTGTCTCCGCCAACAACCCATATCCCCTCTCAGTGAATCCTGAATCCCTTTTTCACCAACCCACTAATTCTTACAAACAGTAAAAAATAAGTAAAGACAGCTACATAATTCTGTAAACTAAAAGAATTACCGTGAATGCATTAATTTTTAGTGAGTTGTGCCTAATTAGTAATCTAAGCCCACTCTCATATGCTTAAAGTGATAGCACATTTTCTTTCTCCTTAGCTAACTTGTAAATAGTAGGCCCAGAGGACTGTACCCTAAAAGCATTACTTTCTACTTTATGTTATTTTTTTTCTTGTAGTTGTTATGTTCAGTAAGATCTATGTAGTTGGGGTAGTTGTCACACGTGAACGGGCGTGTCCATGTAGTAATTCCAGCACATTAATGCCTCTGTGTTGGTTTTATTCCACAGCAAATACCAGCTTGTTTTCTGCTACACCCTCATTGAGAGGAACAACCGCCAGATGCTGCCGGTTATCAGAAACACTGCTGGGGGGGACTCAGTGCAAACCTGCACGAACCCACTTGACACCTTCTTCCCCTTCGATCCTTGTGTACTGAAGAGGTAGGTACACTTAGACAGTCGACCTTTCGATGGTGAATTTAAATGGGGTGTGTATGTGCCTTTACCAGGATCGGGATTTGGGGTTTCTTTGTGGTAAGTGACCCTTCTGGCCGTTGATAGGGTCTCGTGGTCTTGCGTGTTTTCCAGGCCCAGTGTGGAGAAGCCTGTTCAAGGCTGCTGAGGGTCGTGGCACACGAGGGCTTTCAGGTCTCTCCCTCAGTAGGAGCCCAGATTGACACCAAGAGGTTTTTGTTTTTCTTGAAACCTGTTGGTTTAAAAATACAAGAGGCTGGGGATAGAGGTACCTGGATAGGGAGGATGCTGCCTTTTCTTGGCTCATAAATTTCTGCAAAATGACTTGTTCCTTCTTCTAGAGACCACATCCCATACTGTTGCACAGGATAAGCAAATGCCAAGTGATTTATCTGGATGGGTAGTTCTGGAAAACCCCCAGGCCAGTCTTAACTTCAAATGTATATATATATAAGAAGCAGGATTTCTGCTTATGACAGTTTGTAATTAACAGCACAATGGTTTGGGATTATCTGGTCCCCCAGGTCTTGATTGACTGAAACCAGATTGGTCTTTTTACCCAGATTTATTTTTAGTAAATGACTATAGGAATATTAAAAAGGAATTTCCAGAATAATATAATTTCACCTTCATTTGGACATATTATAACTCACTGTTAATCTTTGCAAAGTTGAGAAGTAATTTCACTTGAAAATGAAAGGTTGAGAAACAGTAGGTGTAATACTCCATCTACATGAGTGGATGAACCCTTGTAAAGAAGGCGCCCCGTTAGTTACAGAACCTACATAGGATATTTTTGGACACTTATTATTTGAGCGATAGTTTTTACTTCTTCATTTTGGGTAATGGGTCTTGTGAGAAAAGAGTTAAATATGTGGTGACCTTTGCTGTAGTATTTAATTTGATTTTGAAACCTGATCTTCTTGACAGGTCAAAGAAATTCATTGATCCTCTTTATCAGGTATGGGAAGACATGAGTGCAGAAGAGCTTCAGGAGTTTAAGAAACCCATTAAAAAGGTAAATTTATGATTCAACATAACTTTCTGGGAATCTCCTATGTGGTTACAGAGCACAGTCAAATAGTTAATAGCAATGTTACACTTGAAAAATACTACATTTGTTCATTCTGCCTTTACAGAATTCCAAGCCCAGGTTGTGTTCTTACGAGAATAGTGTTTGTTTTTTAATGAATTGTTCAAACCAGACACTTCACATGCTGACTTTGGGAAGTGAAGGGTAATTAAAAGTCGGCTTAACACATTTAGATCTCTACCACTTGATCGTTACCACCAAGTAACAGTCTCAGATTTGCTTACTGTTGAAATGTTCCCAGAAGTTAACATTAATTTTGTAGGTTTTCATGAATAGGTGGTGAAGATGCAGGTCTGCAGCATGTCCTCCAGTGCGTGGCCATGGAGCTGAGGCAGCTGTTGCCAAAGGAGAAAATTAGAATCCAACAATAAAAAATGTCACCATTTGTTTCTTTGTGGTGCATTCATTTCTGCATTAAAAATCAGCTTTAATGTGCCTGTCTTCTTTTTCATAAGTAATCATTGGAAAGCTCTTTTTAGTTTTATTCTTTCTTTAACTTTTGCGTTTGAGGAGGATGGTCATTCATTCATTTATTCACATTATGTTAGATTGAGCAAGAATGACATATCATGTTACCTGCCCTCGTTGAGCTTAAAATGTGTTAAAAAAAAAATCAGACTTTAAACAAACACAACGTGTGATGAGCAGTTGTGCGGATGGTTCATAATAAAGAAGTGTGCATTGGGAAGCGTTCGAAATTAAGATTCTTTTCCTTCACCTTTGTCTTTCCAGAAGTAGCACATTCCTGAGGAAAGGGATTCTTGAAACCATTTCAAACTGCCACTTGTGATCTTGTTGATAATCTCTGTTCTTTGTGCAGGAGGTGGTGGAAGATGAAGAAGATGATTTTTTGAAAGGTGAAGCTGGGATTACACCGAGCTCCTTTGATGTGCATTTCCGCAGTCCTTCAAGCAGTGTGGGCTCCCCACCTGTCTCATACCTGCCAGACCAGTCCCCCATGATCACAAGGATTTGTGATTGAGACTGACATTCCTCCCGTCGTGCCCTTCAGTACCAAGGTTCATACTATTTGAGCATCGCATTGAACTAGAGCGCGTACGTGCTTCAGGCATCTCACTTTCAAGTTAGACTTACTCTAATGTCTGAACAGACGTGGTTGGGTTTTTTGTTTTGTTTTTGTTTTTTCTGTTTTGCTCCTGTACAGACAAAAGGAAAAGACAGGGGCTTCCCTGGTGGCGCAGTGGTTGAGAGTCCGCCTGCCGACGCAGGGGACACGGGTTCGTCCCCAGTCCGGGAAGATCCCACATGCCGCGGAGCGGCTGGGCCCGTGAGCCGTGGCTGCTGAGTCTGCACGTCCGGAGCCTGTCCTCCACAATGGGAGAGGCCACAGCAGTGAGAGGCCCATGTACTGCAAAAAAAAAAAAAAAAGGAAAAGACAGAACATCATGTGCAATATTTTACGGTGGAGTTGATGATAAGTGTTGAAAGCTTGGCTCATTTGTTTATACATTTTTTTGTTACAGCTTTTTGACATAATTGTGAAATTTCTAATATCAGCAACAGCCTATTTTAACAGATTGCATTTTTAACGAGGTTTTTGTCAGAGCCATACTTGCAGGACTTTGTTGATATGATATCTTTTCACTGAAAAATCCTCAAGGACACTCTTTGAAGTCTTCAGAATGAGTTTCTTTTGGATATGCTGTTTCCCCTCTTCTGTAACTGTATTTGTGTTCCGCGGTTTCAGTGGGGTGCAGAGAAGGTAGCAGCAAAGTGTGGGGAGGGGGCCAGGGCTGGTCCTGGATGCTGCAAGTTGGAGCTGGCACTGAAGGAGATCTCCAGGGACTTCAGAAACTAATAAAAGCCTAGAGAGAGGATTTAGAGAAACAGGATCAGACACATCATACATTTGTGAGTGTAAAAATGGGTTTAAAAGAAAAAAGGAGTTCCAGGTAAATGTAATTCACATTGACTGAAGTAGGGTTGGATTTTTATAAAACACAGCTCACAGTGTTTTACCCTGACGCTCCCAGAAGTGCTGTCAGAACTGGAACTACTTGTAGTGGAATGTAATATTGATCATTGAGAATTTCTTTGTCCAAAAGTAGGGGAAGAGAGGGGATTTTAGGTTATTTGGTGGAATGGTTTTGCTAGCAACAGTAGGTCAGGGTTACAGCTACAGTCCCTGTCTACTGGCTGTTCGTACCATGGATTCCAGCTCAGTGAAATCCTCTGGCGAGGCTCTTTTTGTATTTTTATAACTAAACACTGAGAGAGAGGAGTCTAAACAACCTCGCTGTATGATAAATTTGTGCAAGCGCTGCTAGTCATTTTGAAGCTCCTGCATATTTTAGCTTCATTCCTTATTTGTGTACTTGTTATTTGTGAAAGTGGACACCTTTAAATATATTTATTTTTCTGCCACTTTCCTATTCTTTATTTAAAGGCAAGTGATATTTTCTTGATCTCAAATATTTTATAATGAAATACTTCCTCTTTCCTAGGGCTTTGTATGCTCTCATATATTTACATTGATGGCAATGTAGAGTTTGAATTTCAGTCTGTAAATATGTTTTTGGAAAATAGAAATTTTTATTGTTTTAAAAAGTTTGGGGTATTGGTGATTTTCTTTTGGTGACTTGGAAAGTTGTTTGAGAGCCTTTAGGTTCTCTGTTTTTTTAACTGACAAAAAGGTAAGATTTTTGTACAGTGGCTAAAATGAGTAATTGAAAATGTGTCTGTAGAAATGAACAGTAAGTGGGGTCTTTGTGAGTTGAGAAGTAGTTTTAATGTAGAAGTATTCAGACAAGTCTAAAATTTCAAAGGAGTTTGAGAAAAAAATACTGTGAAAATAAAACAATGACATGGTTAATCTGGAACTTTTGTCCTTATGCCAATAAAGGGAGGTACCCCAATAAAGAAGCTTCTCATGTAAATGTTCTTTTGACTCCTGTGTTTTTTTATTTTATATTTATTGATCTACTGTATTAAAGCACCGTTTTGCAATAAAAAACTGCAACTGAGACTTTACTTAATTGATACTTTATTAAAGAGGCAAAAGTATTGCCAGTGTGATTGCAAGTACTCAAAAATAATTGCATACTGGTGATGAGAATGGCTTCCAGGGGCATCTGAAATGTCACTGACTCTCCTTGATCACACCCAACGGGTCCAAGGAAAACACTTCCAAAAAGTTACATGCTTTTAAGGAACATCTGTGCACAAAAAAAAAAGTTGTTTAATCTCCTTGGGAATTATATATGAAAACAGGATTTTCCTATCCCTCTTACTCAAAAGCAGGTTTTCAACTGGGGTAGGAGTTCCAGGGTCCATCATTTTGTTTGTCTGCTATGGGCAGGTCTTCTTTAATGAGAAGTGGCCAATTCATACAAGTGTGAAAGGACCAGTGTCATGGGTGTCAGACCTGTCTTCTCTTTCTAATCAGCTGTGTGACCTTGAGCAAGTTACCTAGCCTTTCTGAGCTCCACTTTGAAAATAAAAGTGGAAATTACTGATACCTACATTATGGTTGTGAGGATTTGATGAAAATGCACGTAAAGTCAGCTGTTTGGTTACCTTGTGAGAAAGTCTAGTTAAGCTGGAAGCATTTTCATGGAAAGGTCTTTTCAAGGCAAAGATAACTTCCATTTCACCTGTATTACCTACTTAGTACCAACTTAATTTCAACTGGAGGGGAAGGGCCAGAGGGCTCCACCTGCCAGGCAGTGCTTATTACAGCATCCTATAGACATTCTAATAGTTTTTGCTCTGTGTGAACTGGGGCCTCTTCGTCTCACCAGTCTTTTGTAAAATTATTTTTGTTAATGTGGAGTTGGATCTATTTGGGTAATATTTCCAAGTTTTAGAATAGCTAAAACTATTTTAAACTCAAATGAGGTGAGAAGTCTCACGCCAGGGCATCTGTCCTCAGTAGGGTCTGTAGGCTGATCTTTACTCCCAGGGTTCTTAGCCCATCTATGAGTGCCTACTGAATGTCAAGCACCAAGTGTTATTAATGCTTTCTGAATGTGTGGGACTAGCAAACTTTAGGCTCCATTTTCCCACTTTAATACAGGTTGTGTTTACTATTAAATACAATCCTATGGAGCAGAACGGCAGGTTCGGAAACTCGGAAAATTTGCTCAAGGTCACTATGGGAAGTGGTACAGCCGTCATATGAACCTAGGCAGGCGGCGACCCCAGAGCCTGCACTCAGGCCAGGTTGGCTGAAATGTGAGCCACGCTTTCAGAACTACATTTCCCAGCGCCCCTAGGGGAGGCGGGCCGCTCCCTCCCGTTTGGACTACGCTTCCCATGGGGCCATGCGCCGCTCCCCCCCCCCCCCCGAAACATCCAGGGGGACGCTGTTGTCATGCGCTGCTCCTCTTTCAGCTTGATGCTGGACATGATTGGGATGCCCTGGTTGTCACCTGTGGACACAGAGCAAGGTAGGGCAGGGAGCCAGTCCTGGCTACCCCCGGCCCACAACTTGCCCCCCAGCCCAAGCTCAGCTGGACGCTCAACTTTGTCTTGCCCACTCCAAACATCAACTCCGGAGGAGGCCGCCGCCTCCCTGGGCCTGCCGGGGCGGCTGCCTCCGCGATGCCGCTGCTCGTGGAGGGGCGGCGAGGGAGGCTGCCGCAGTCCGCTGGGGACCTCGTCCGAGCCCACCCGCTTCTGGAGGTGAGCAGGGCCCGGGCGGGGGGCTTCGAGGCTGGCCCGAGGGAATCTGCAGGCGGTCCAGAGCCCTCCTCACCTCGCCGCCACCACCCGCTCTCCCCGAATCAGGCTCGAAACTTGGCGCAGCGGAGGTGCTATCGGCACATCCGGAGCCCAGGCCGCCGGCAGCAGAGTTTCTGCCCTCGCTTGAGGCATCTGTGGAGCTTTTACCTTCTTTGGACCTTAGAGGGCATCTGCTGAGGCCCCTCTTTTCTAAAGGAGGAAATGGGGGCCCAGAGAGGTTAGGTGACTTGTCCAGGGTCGCCCAGCACTGCGGCTTGAGGACACCCCGGGACCCCCTTTTTCCAGACAGGGCGGTCCCAATCTCCAATCCGGACTTGGCCCGTTTAGGCAAATCTGGGCAGCGCCCTTGCTCGCTCCGTCGCCGGGGATCCCCACCCGTGGTGAGCGCGGCATCGTCCTTGCGTCCTCAGGAAGCAGGAGGTTTTCTGGGGTGGGCAGGGGCATCCTGGCGGGTCGCCTAGTCTTCTAGACCCGGGATCTGGGGCTCCCGGTTAGTTTCAGTCGGAAGAAAGGGCCCTATTTTCACCCAGCTGGGGCGTGTTGAGGAGCCACACCCTATGGAAGGGTTTTCTGTTTTGTTTCCTGCTTTTGTCCTTAGATGGATCTCTGAACCCTTAGTCCAAGCTTATGCAGAGACTGTTTAGAAAAGGGTTTTTACTGTAAAAAAAAAAAAAAAAAAATATCCAAACCAAACCTCCCACTTGCCCCAGATCCAGTTAAGGGGAAATCAACCATTTCATTGATTTAAGAGATTCATGTTGAGCCTCTAATGTACGTTGCCTATGGTGTTTGCCTCTTTCCCCACAATTCAGGACATTTATAGGGTGGGGATGTTTTTTAATCACAGGATGGCTCAAATACCATGACTGTTAATTAAGTGCCATAAAGGGGGAAAAAAAATGCCCCTTTTCACTCTGCAAACTGAAGCCAGGGAACCAGATTGAGTCTGTAGGCTTAGGGAAGGTATTTTTGGGTTTTCTTCTGTAATAGTTGCAGGGTGATTTTGTCTGCATGCATGTTTTGTTTATTTTCCTTTGGTCTCTCCCCCAGAATGTAAGCTTCCTGAAGGCAGACAGTGTGTCTTTGTATCCTCAGAGCCTAGGGCAGTCCCTGTCAGTGAACCTGTGCTTTGTAAATATTTGTTTCACAAATGTCTGAGCAAAATGACCCCTGAAAATGACCCAAAAGATGAGGCGGGGGGGGGGGGGGTCTAGAATACTATTTCTGAGTCACATTCTTTTTCTTGGAAACATTTATCCAACTATAGTCATTTTAAAC